ATATATGTTCAATTATTTCTTTTAATCACATATGATTATACAAGGAATTTTATTATTAATCACATGTGATTTTATATTGTATTGATTTATGTATATTCAATTGTTTCTTTTATAATAATATATGATTAAAATGTTTTCTATATTTGATCATACATGTGAATGTTCTACTTCTTGTAATGATGCAAATTCAAACAGTAGGACTAGTTCAAGCTGTGTATCAGAGTTTTATATGTCAGAGGTTCTGCATGATATCAAACCAGATGTTCCTGATGAGTTTAAACCTACTAAGGAAATGAGGTTCAAAGATGTGGATGAGGGAGTTAATTTTTATAAAAGATATGCAGAGAAGGCTGGTTTTGATGTTCGTTTGAACACATTATAGAAAGTTGGTGATATAATAAAGCATAGGTTTTTGGTTTGTAACAGGATGGGTAAACCGAAATTGAATCCAACGGAACGTAATACAATCTATATGGTTACAGATTGTAAAGCCAAAATTATTGTGAAACGTGTCAAAGGAACGTGTGAGTATAGGTTTGATAAGTTTCAAGAAAATCACAACCACGAGCTTGAAGATACATTTCACTTGAAAAGTACAAGGACTCTTTCATACTCTGACAAGGAGTTCATTGTTCGGGCGTCTACTGCAAAAATGGGTGCTACAAAAGCTTACAAACTCAAATCAACTTTGAAAGGTGGTTTTCAGTATGTAAGGGGCAAGGCTGTAGATTACATAAATTTTAAAAGGGATATGGGCTTTATTATTGGCTTCAGAGATGCTCAACTTATTGTGAACAAGATGAATGATCGGAAAAACAACTATCCGAATTATTCATTTTTTTATAGATGTGATGAGAATAATGTGTTAAATGCAATGTTTTGGGCCGATGAAACATATAAAGCATACTACAGTGAATTCGGAGATGTTATGTCATTTGATGCAACATTTCGTACAAATAAGTAAGTTTTTCTTTTGTATTTATGTTTCTAATCATATGTGATTTATATTTTTTCAATAAGTATACTGATTTGATTATTATTGTAATCATATGTGATTGATGAATGATGAACATGTATGGTATTTTGATAATGATTATAATCATATGTGATTGATCATATATAATCATATAAGATTGATGATTGATTAATGCTTAACAAGTATTCTGATGTAGTTATTTTTCAAATCACATATGATTTATCAATTGTCAAAAATTATACTGTTGTGATGATGATTGTAATCATATGTGATTGAATAAATTCTCATCAAGTATTTGTAATGTGATTTTGATTATAATCATATGTGATTTATCATTTATCGTCAACTATTCTTATGTAATTTATTTTTACGTTCTAAATATGTTTAATCTTATTTTGATTATTATTACATGAAATAGGTATGCATTGGTTTTTGTTCCATTCACTGTCATTGATCATCATAAATCATCTGTTACTGTTGGAGCCGGGTTGTTAAGCACGGAGGATGTGGATTCGTATAAATGGCTTCTTGAACAGTTTTTGAAGGCTCATTCAAATAAACAACCATTACTTATTTTAACTGATCAAGATGCAGCAATAAAGCAAGCATAGAGTGTGCATGTGGCATATCATGAAGAAACTGCCAAAAAAGGTACATTTTTTTTTGAAATCACATGTGATTTTACATAACATATATTTTTATATTGATAATCAATTGTGATATATCACGTGTGATTTTTTTAATCTGAATAAGATTTTTTCTAATCAGATATTATTTTTATAATTTGAAAATATTTAATCATATGTGTTTTTCTTTTTTGTAATCAGATATTTATTCTAGCATATATGATTTTCCAATTTGAACAGATTTGAATCATATGTGATTTTGTTTTCTAATGTGAATAGATTTAAATCATATGTGATTTTTTTCAATATTGTAATCACATGTGATTGTCTAAATGATTATGAATATAAACATACATGATTATTACAAATCATATGTGATTATATTTATAATCACATATGATTAAAGCATTTAAAGTTATGTCATGTGAGTTTTACCTTTATATTTTAATATTAATTTATAATATGTGAATCACATGTGATTATTATAGCTATCTGTGGAATTTCTTAAAAGCACGGATTTCAAGAAAAGGTTCAATAAACTTGTGTGGGACATTTATATCAAGCGTCATATTTTCGAGAGGAGTTGGGAACTATTGATGAAAGAATTTAATCTTGAAGATGATAAATGGTTTAAAGATATTTTTGAAAATAAGGAAGCATGGGTACCTGCATATTTCAATGATTTTCCAAGGTGTGGGTTGATGAAGACAACTTCAAGGTCTGAGAGTATCAATTCATTTTTCAATTCATATTCAGAAACCAAAAATTTCTTTTTGAATTTCATGATGAATTATGACACTGCCATTAAAAAACAACGATATACACAACGTGAACGTGATCGTAAAACCAAGGGAGCAAATTATTCTTGGAGGTCACCACGTATGATAGAACAACATGCAGCAAAGGTGTATACTAGCTAGGTTTTTTTTGAAGTTCAAAAGGAGATTTATAAAGGAGGTTGGTTTTGTGAGGTTAAAGATTTAGGGGAGGGAGATGGATGTGAAAATTTTAAAGTTATTCACAAGAACCAAAAACACGAAATAAAAGCAACATATAAGGTATCTTATTTTTTTATTTATATCATTTATATATTTTTATATATGATAATGTTGTGATCAATCACATGTGATTATAAAGATAATGTGCATATGTCACTAGTGTGTATGTTGTTTTCATGTGTGTAATCATATGTGATTAAACAAGACTGTGATTTTTATTTGTATAATCATATGCGATTAATGTGTAATCATATGTGATTCTTCATTTTTCAAGTGTAACTAAAATATGATGAAAAAGAAGTGAGTTGCACCTGTGGACATTTTAATCGTTTTGGTATGCTTTGCAGACATGCTTTTAGAGTATTGATGGACAAAAATTTTAATGAAATACCAGAACAATATACTCTTAGGCGATGGACAAAGGATGTAATATCTTCAAATTATCAGCTATCGAGAGACCGTTTTGATGAAGAGGACGAAGAAGTTACCAAACTGGTTAATGAAGTATTTTTAAATGTTGAAAGTGCTTTAGACATTGTGACAGATAATAAGCAGAAGTTAGTATGTTTTGCAGAAAAAACAAAACTTTTGTTGAATGAGGTGAAGAGTAATTCTTCAAGTGAAAATCCGATTACAAATTCTGATGTCCTTGAGAAACATTATAATGTTACTATTCCGGAAGAAGTTGAGATTTTTGTTCCAGTTGTTCAACATAATAAAGGATCAAGAAAGACGAGGCTTATTGGTGAAGTTGAAAAAGCAGTTATGAAAGCTCAAACGAAGAGCAGAAAATGCTCACTATGTGGTAAAAAAGAACCACACAACATGCGTACTTGTCCCAACAGATTTAATTCTCAAAATTGATATATAGACTTTTTATTAGTTTTCAATTTTTTAAGTAAATAACATTCATAACAGATTATAATCATATGTGATTCAATTTATTTTTCCTCATTCAATTTTTGGTTGTCTTTTTATAATTATATGTGATTCTAAAATTTTTACACATGTTATTTGTTTCTATAATAGTTAAGTATAAACTGTTAATAAAAGATTTTAATCACATGTGATTTTATAATATATATGTTTTTTTATACATAATCACATGTGATTTTTGTAATCACATTTGATTTTATAATATCATTTTTTTATACATAATCACATGTGATTTTTGTAATGTGAATGTGAACATATTTAATCATATGTGATTTTCTTTTTGTGTATGCATATATTACACATGATAATTAGATGTTATTATTTTACAATATTTTATATGATACATATAATCATATGTATCAAATGTGTTTATATGTTTAATCACATATTATACTATTGAATTTTTTGCTTTTATATTTATTGTCATATGTGATTGAGTATTCAAATTATGTTTATGTTTGTAATCATATATGATTGATGTATAAATCATAATCACATGTGATTTTATAATATCTATGTTTTTTTATACATAATCACATGTGATTTTTGTAATCACATTTGATTTTATAATATCATTTTTATACATAATCCCATGTGATTTTTGTAATGTGAATGTGAACATATTTAATCATATGTGATTTTTCTTTTTGTGTATGCATATATTACACATGATAATCAGATGTTATTATTTTACAATATTTTATATGATACATATAATCATATGTATCAAATGTGTTTATATGTTTAATCACATATTATACTATTGAATTTTTTGCTTTTATATTTATAGTCATATGTGATTGAGTATTCAAATTATGTTTATGTTTGTAATCATATGTGATTGATGTATAAATCATAATCACATGTGATTTTATAATATCTATGTTTTTTTATACATAATCACATGTGATTTTTGTAATCACATTTGATTTTATAATATCGTTTTTTTTATACATAATCACATGTGATTTTTGTAATGTGAATGTGAACATATTTAATCATATGTGATTTTTCTTTTTGTGTATGCATATATTACACATGATAATCATATGTTATTATTTGATACATATAATCATATGTATCAAATGTGTTTATATGTTTAATCACATATTATACTATTGAATTTTTTGCTTTTATATTTGTAATCATATGTGATTGATGTATAAATCATACGTTGTTCTTAATTAATGCAAATTAATCATATGTGATTTAAAAAATGTTTATAATCACATGTGTTTGTCGATATCATATATATGTTCAAACATTTATCTAATTAAAACCTAATTATTGTGTTAATAAAGTAGCAAGGATTCATCTAATTAAAAAGTAAACATTGTCTAAATAAACCAACAATCAAATTATGCATTGGCGGACAGTCCTTCATCATTTCCATCTTCACAACTTCACCTTCAACACTTGCATCTTCATCTTCCCATTCACCATTTTTCCTTCAATCAATCAACCCTAATGGCAGTCCTTCAACCTTTTATGGATTTCTGCACAAGCTTTTCTTTGATCACTTTCTCTCTTCTCTTTATTTTGTTTATTGTACTCATGAGCAAGTTCCATGATATCATCCTTCATGAGATTAATTTCAGAATTTATCAATGCATAAGCATATTTGGTTCTCACCCAATCGAGCAATGCATCTTGAGTTCCTTCTTTTGGGAATCCAGTTTTGTATTTTGTTTCACCCATATACGTTTCCATGTATCTCATCACAAATACTCCACAATCTATTTTGTTATCTTTAGTTTTACATATCAGATGTGGTATTTGTGGTTTGATATTTGGGTCTTGAAGGGCATGACATCTTGGATAATTGATCTCATGCAAATATCTCAAGAAGTATTTTTTCTGAAAATTAAAAATATATATATAAAGTTAGTCACATACAATTAAACATATAAAAAATCTTATTTACATTTATATAATCAGATGTGAATAAAAATAATTTACATAATCACATGTGATTACAATCATGAAATAATGTTTTACATAATCACATGTGATTACTTACCAGGTTTTTGAGTACATGCATGTACTTAGCTTTGATTGTTGCTTCTGAGATGCTGTTGTCCAGTATTACAATGCTTGCATTTTTTTATGTTAAAAACAAATACAAACATGTATTCGTGCCGACAAATAGGGAAAAATATCTGCATTTAAATATGTATTGTCATATTTAGGAAGGATATACACTATAATAAGAATAATAAGATTTTTTTTTAAAAAACTTACCATATCAACATCTTTCAATTTTATTTTTTCTTCATCTCCATTGAACCAATCTACAAAGTATTTTTTGAATAAACTGTATCTATTCTTGTCTTTCTCTTTTTCTTTCTCTTTTGCCTCCTTTTCCATTTGTTCTTTTAGCTTTTTGTCAATCTTTTTCTTTTTATCATCCTTTTTTGGTTTAGGAAGCTGCTCATCCTCAATATACTTTGTCTAAATGCTAAATCATTCGTCATTTTAATGTATAATCATATGTGAATTTAAATAGATGATATTAATTTAGTGCTAGAATCATATATGTTTTACTTACAATCATTTGGAAAGACAAGAAAACTTTGTATGGAGAATTATTAATGTCTCGGTCCTTCTCGTTGTAGTTCAGACCATGAGTCTATGACATCCGAAAATAGATATTCTCCGAGAAACAAACTTTCAAATACATACCGGAATACCACTCTTTTGTTTATTGTGAATAACAGCTGATCACTGTAAATATAAAAAAAATGTTATTTCAAATACATGAATATAATCACATGTGATTTGATGAAGTATGTTTATGTCATTAATATATTCATATCTTTAATCAGATGTGATTTACTAATTATTAAACAAGTATGTTAATGTTTATTTTTGTAAATGCTAATCAAATATTAATAACTTACTATTCACTTCCTTGCAAATTGAATAACAACCATTCACCAAGCATTTCTTCTTTTTTTGTTAATTTTGTTTTCAAGCAAATGGCTCTCTCTTTATATGGAGATCTCCTTACTTCAGCTGACTTCTTCTTTCTTTGTTGCCGAGGTTCCTAAGTTAGATTTTGCTTTTCTGTAAGCTCAGGAAAAGACTCTTTGTTTTGATTTTTAGAAATCACAATTTTTATCTTTGGGTGGATCTTTCTTTTTGGATCCAGCACATCTTTCACCACATCTTCTTTTTTACCTTCATCTTTTTCTTCTTTACCAGTATTCTGCAATTCAAATGTAACGACGTAATTTTTCAAACCAAATTTTTATTTTTAAAACACATAAAACTCATATATTATATTTCATAAAAATCATAAGTGTCTCAAAGTCAACATAAATCCACAACAAAAGTCAAATCCTAGAATCCTCAAAATAATCTCGAAGAGGTGTGTACAATCACGCCGATTCTTTCCCGCGATCCTCGGAAGTACCTGAAACACATAACACATAACACAGTAAGCATAAAGCTTAGTGAGTTCCCCAAAATACCACATACAACATATTAGCCACTCGAGGCTATAACTCTGTAAGAACCTCCAGTCAATGTGTCTCAGTGGGACCCTCCAGTCCCACAACTCTGATGGACCTTCCGATCCTAACTCTGTGGACCCTTCGGTCCTAACTCTCTAAGCTCTGAGTAATACACAACATAAATCACAAAGAAATAATGCAGGATATCACAATACACAGATAAGCACATAAGACATCTCAGTCACATACAAATACCACTCATGGTAAAGTATAGTGAGAAGACTCACCTCGTAAGCTAGCTAGTAAAATCTCGTGCTCGGAATCCTCGATCTAGCCTCCGCCTAACATACTAGATAAGTATCTCTAATCAATACCCCACTCTTACTCAAATACACCAAAAGTTCTCTTACACCCTTTCTAACCCTTGGAATGGGTAAAAGACCATTTTACTCCTCCCTTGTCTCAAATGCTCATACTTGACCCAACCATGAAGTCAACAGAAGTCAATACGAATCAACAGTCAAAGTTGACCTGACTTGCCGAGTGCACCCTTGTGACTCGCCGAGTCCACTCGTATCCTCAGGGATTTTCCTAGGGTTTCACTCAGCTCGTCGAGTTGACCCCCAACTCGACGAGTTATCACTGGGTTCAGAATGATGGGGCAACCCGATCCGACTCGTCGAGTCATCTCATAGACTCGGCGAGTTGACTCATTCGAATTTCTCATTTGGGCACCTGAGGTCAGATCTGCAACTCCAACCTCTAGATCTAGCCTCCTAATACCCAAAAGTCACGTAAATGTTTGATCTTGATGACCATGCATGGCATATATTGCTCTATATGCCATCACTACTCCATTAATGCTTCCAAAACCCAAAACTCCTTGGTTGATTCACTAAGGCTCTACACTTTTGGACTCTCTGGACCTCACAAGGTCCAGATCTGAAGTCTAAATTCGAAAAGGGGCTTGATGCATCCATAGCCCCATCAAGAAGGTGTTACAAGCCTTAAATCTCAAGAACATGAGATCTAATCATCCTACAAGAAAGGTAAAAGCTTTTTATCTTGATCTGAAGCTTGAGATGAAGAAGAAACAAATCTACTGGCCCTCCCTTCTTGATCTTTGATGAACCTTCCTTCCTCTTCAAGGAAATGAGCCAAAATGAACACAAGATTAGCTATCCTCACCACTCTAGCTCACTATGGACGTTAGGGTTTCTCTCAAGGGTCTAAGCGTTCTGGTGAGACGAAATGGAGGCTATAAGTGCCTTTAAATAGGTCGCAGGCCCGAGAATTTAGGGTTTCCTTCAGCAGCGCTGACTTGGCGAGTCGCCTCACAGACTCGTCGAGTCCATTCGTTAATCCACGTCACCAGACGCGATTATACTCGATGAGTTGAGGCACCAACTCGTCGAGTCACTCCACAAATATTCAAATTAAATGAGAAAATAATATACCTGGGAATCCAGATGTTACAATTCTCCCCCACTAGAATCAGACTTCGCATATCTGACTCCGGCTCCCAAGTCAACTCGGATCCCCTCCGATGTTGCCACTGGACCTAAACCAGGGGCACTTTCTTGTTCCTCAGAACCTTCACTTTTCGATCTAGAATCGCGATCAGCCTCTCAATGTAATTCAGGCTCGCATCAACCTGAATGTCCTCCAGTGGTACCACTGTCGTCTCATCGGCTACACACTTCCTCAACTGGGACACGTGGAAGGTGTTATGGATCTGACTCAACTCCGCATGTAGCTCCAATTGGTCTGCTACTCTACCCACTCTGGCGGTCACTCTGAAAGGACCGATGTATTGGGGTCCCAGCTTACCCCGCGTCCGGAATCGGATCACCCCTTTCCATGGGGATACCTTCAAAAGCACAAAATCCCCGACCTGGAATTCTAGCTCGGACCGTCGCCTGTCCGCATAACTCTTTTGGCGACTCTGTGCCGTTAGAAGCCACTGCCTGACCTGCTGAATCTGCTCGGTCGTTTTCAGCACTATCTCCAACCACCCATCACTCTTTGTCCCACTTCTCCCTAGCAAATGGGAGTCCGACACCTTCTTCCATACAGAAGCTCAAAGGGAGGCATACGAATACTCGAATAATAGCTGTTTTTGTAGGAAAACTCAGCCAGTGGTATGTATGTGTCCCAACTTCCCCCGAAGTCCATGACACATGCTCGCAACATGTCCTCAAGCGTCTGAATCGTCCGCTCGCTCTGCCCCTCCGTTTGAGGGTGATACGCCGTACTGAAATGCAAGCGTGTGCCCAGATCTTCATGAAACTTCTTCCAAAACCTGGAAGTGAAACGTGCGTCTCGATCCAACACTATCGAGACCGGCACGCCATGACGCGCTACCACTTCTCTCACATAGATCTCAGCCACTCTTTCCGCGGAAGAGCTCTCACTAATAACAAGGAAGTGAGCACTTTTCGTCAGCCGGTCCACGATTACCCAAATCGCGTCAACTCCATGTGCAGTCCTCGGCAACTTGGTGATAAAGTCCATCGAGATCTGTTCCCACTTCCACTGGGGAATCTCAAGAGGCTGCAATGGACCATGTGGATGCTGGTGCTCTGCCTTGACCCGACGGCAGGTCAAGCACCTCTCAACCACCCAGGCAACATCCCGCTTCATACAGGGCCACCAGTAATCCCTCTTCAGGTCCAAGTACATCTTAGTAGCCCCGGGATGGATCGAGAATCTCGATCTATGCGCCTCCTCCTTCAGTATATGTCGAGCCCCGCCCGTATAGGGCACCCAAATCCGCCCTCGAAAAGTCATAAGTCCTCGGCTATCCGTCACACACTCGGACACCTGCCCAACCACTCGCTCCCTCTTGCGGTTTTCCGGTTTCACGGCCTCCGACTGGGCCTCTCGAATGGTATCCAAAATTGGAGTCATCACTGTCATCCTCATACACACATCTCGAATCGGGGCACTCTCCACTTTACGGCTCAGGGCGTCGACTACCACGTTAGCCTTGCCCGGATGATACAGGATCTCACAGTTATAGTCTTTCACCACATCCAACCATCTCCTCTGCCGCATATTCAGGTTGGGTTGATCCATGAGATACTTCAGGCTCTTGTGGTCCGTGTATATGGTATACCGAACCCCATACAAGTAGTGGCGCCAGATCTTGAGGGCGAACACCACCGCCCCTAACTCTAGATCATGGGTGGGATATCTCGTCTCGTGAGGCTTCAACTGCCTCGACGCATATGCTATCACGTGACCCCTCTGCATCAACACTGCACCCATCCCTGAGATAGACGCATCACAATAAACCACAAAGTCCTCCACTCCCTCCAGAAGAGCTAGTACCGGAGCTTCACACAATCTCCGACGAAGAGTCTCGAATGATGCCTGCTGCTCAGGCCCCCAAACAAAAGTAACGCCCTTTCGGGTCAATCTGGTGAGAGGAACCGCAATCTTGGAGAAATACCTGATAAACCTCCGATAATAGCCAGCCAATCCCAGAAAACTCCTGATCTCGGATGGGGATCTCGGCACCTCCATCGCATGACTGCCTCAATCTTGGCCGGGTCGATCAATATCCCAGTCTGATTAATGAGATGCCCTAGGAACTGGACTTCTTGTAACCAGAAATCACACTTGGAGAATTTGGCATATAGCCTCTCCGATCTCAAAACCCCCAAAACCTCTCTAAGATGCTCCTTGTTCTGTTCCCTGGACCCCGTGTACACCAGGATATCGTCGATGAACACAATCACCGATCGATCCAACATGGGCCTGCACACCCGGTTCACGAGGTCCATGAACGCTGCCGGTGCGTTGGTGAGCCCGAAAGGAATCACCACAAACTCGTAATGCCCATAACGAGTCCTAAAAGCTGTATTCTGAATATCCTCCTCGCGTAATCTCATATGGTGATACCCTGAT